TTCAAATTTTTAGCCCATTTAAAAAAATTTCACTATCTTCATATTTGGGGCAGTACTGAAAAACAAAGGATAATATACAAATCTACTCTATTTTTAAGCATTTCTAGGACAGGAAAATTTTAATCTTTCTTTGGTATTGCATGATTTTTAACTGTAAAAAGTTAATTGATTTCAGATTTCTGTCAATTAAGTCCATTTCTCTTTGTTACTCCTCATTCAGAATTAAAACAAATATTTAGAGATAATTTGTGATTACACACTTATGTAGTTTATGTTTCAATGTTTAATAAGGCTTTAATTTGTTAAAGGATAAATATTATTCCCCACTGGTGTGGCTCAGTGACTTGGGTGACATCCCACAAACCAAAGGGTTGCATTTCTCCCAACTGGGGGACATTTCTGGATTGAGGGCCAGGACTCTGGTTCTGGTTGGGGATGTGCAAGAGGCAACTGATCAATGTTTGTCTCACACATTGATGTTTCTCTCCCTCTCTTTTTCCCTCCATTTGCCTCTCTCTCTAAAAAATAAAAATGATAGAAATTATTTCATTAATAATATGTCTTTACTGCCTCCTTTCCACTGGCATTTTCAATCTGTGTGAAAAAGATTAAAAAGAATAATTCAACCAAGTACTATTGCTATATTTGCCCACTTTTAACCCTTTTACTAATGAGATAAGGAACAGGCCTCTTCTTGCTGGGCTGTCAACATCCCATTGCTTAGGAAAAAAGTGTGGCTGTATTTAGCATTCACTTTATTTTCAAGGCTTAGGAGTTGCATTTAGGCAGCCTTGATTCCATGCAGGACAAAAAAGCACCAAAAGCCCAGTTCATAACAAATATTTCTCCACAGAGTTGGTGAGAATTGGGGTTGTTTAGGAGGACTAATTGTCCTATGCTATGTTGAGGGAAGAGTAAAGCTTGGCAATGCAAGCATCCATGTTGACCAGCAGCTGTCCCTCATCCTATTCAGGGAGGGGCAAGTATGTAGGTGATTTCTTCTTTAATTTATCCTTTGACAATCCTTCAGTATGCATTAGATTTTATAGATTTTCAGCAGCAATTATTAGGGGGAAGGGGGAGAAGAAGATTTAAATTTTTTGTCTTAAAATGTGTGTAGGTACAATTTTAAAAAGGAGATAATTACAGAAAGCATATGAAACTCCTACTACAGATTTCTATGGTATTTTTTGGACTGTAAGACACCTCTCCACCCCAATTTGGGAGGAATAATGGTTGTTAATGCTGCTGTTGAGTTCTGTTTACATTGGTGAAATTTTATTTATTTATGTTATTGAATATTTTACCACATTTTTTGCTTCAGAATCTTTTTTCCTACTTTCTTCCTCTAAAACCTAGGTGCATCTTCTGGTCTGAAAAATGCAGTAAGTGTTAGAGTGATTTTTGCATGGGTCATCATACATAAAATCAATAACCCAAAGGGATTTGCTATGTTGATTATGGAGACAAACACACACTCATATACTCCTTGGACCCCTACAATCCTATTTCAATTTTAAATGCATTTTGAAAAATGAAAATGCTTCAACTAACCATCAATAATGATATATTTCCCCTTATGTGACATTCATTCTCTGAGAATCAAAGGGCAAGATCACAGGCCAGATTCAAAATGACTGCAGTCTAAGGACCTTCCTCAGGTTACCTTCTAAATTTCTCCTTTTGCAAGGAAAGTTAAAAAATGACAAAAAGTTCTTACTTTTATCCCATTTTCTACCTTAAAAGAAGTATGTTTTCAATACTTTTCTTCAGTTGTCCTAGATTTATGAATCCAGAGCCACAACACAGCATGGTTAAGAGGACATTAGCCTCTGAAGTGTCATGACCTGAGTATGAAGTCCTTCTCTACCATTTATTTACTTGCTGTATGACCTTGGGAAAGTTACTAAGCCCCTCTTGGGCTCAGTTTCCTCATCTGTAATATGGGGTAAAAAAAAAAAAGAAGACCTAGGTAATTATAAATTTGTATAGTTTGAAAGTTAGGCATACATGACCCCAAATAATAAGAAAACACCTCAATTAATGAGGGTTTGATTGTCCAGGTTGCAGATTTTCTAGTCCAGGTACCCCTGGCTTTTCATGAAGAAGAATTTAAAAAGTGCTTTCAATTAGATTAGGTACAAAGCACAGAATGTTTGTTTGAGTTGGAACGAAGCTGGGGGCTTCTCTAGCCTCTGGTAGCTGGAGCCCCCAAGCCTCCCTTTTCTCCTCTTCTGTATTAACTCTTCCCCCACAGGCTCCTACCCTCAGTCTACTAACCTTCTTGGATGGCCTTTTTTAAAAGTCACCTTCTGAGAATGGCCATCACAAACAAATCAACCAACCTGTGTTGGAGAAGTTGTGGAGAAAAGGGAACACTAGTGCACTATTGGTGGGAATGCAGACTGGTGCCCTTACTGTGGAAAATAGTATGGAATTTCCTCAGAAAACTAAACATGGAACTGCCTTTTGACCCAGCAATTCCACTGCTGGGATTATATCCTAAGAGCCCTGAAACACCAATCCAAAAGAACCTATGTACCCCAATGTTCATAGCAGCACAAGTTACAATAGCCACGTGCTAGAAGCAGCCTAGGTGCCCATAAGTAAATGAGTGAATAAAAAACCCATGGTACATTTATACAATGGAACACTATGCAGCTGAGAGAAAGAAGGCACTCCTACCCTTTGGGACAGCATGGATGGAACTGGAGAACATTATGCTAAGTGAAATAAGCCAGGTGGTTAGGGACAAATACCGTATGATCTCACCTTTAAGTGAAATCTAATCAACGAAAGAAAAAAGCAAGCAAAATATAACCAGGGACATTGAAATTAAGAACAACCTGACAGTAACCACAGGGAAGGTGGGAGGGGATAATGGGGGAAAAGTTTTCAGGAACAACTATAAAGGACACATGGACAAAACCAAGGGGGACAGGGTAGAAGCAAGGGAGGGAGGTGGGTTTGGCTGGGGTGGGGGGGAGTGGTGAGGGTAAATGCAGACAACTGTAACTGAACAACAATAAAATAATTTTCGAGAAGTCATCTTCCCTCAAAAACGCTGGTAATATTAAGATAAACAACATTAGATGTTATATGCAATAGGTCCTCAAATAATGTTTTATTCAATGTTGTTTTGTTATAACATTGAGATGCCATAGAAACTCAACTTTTGTTTATATCAGTGAACCTCTGGCAAAATTGGTTTCATTATGGTGGTGTCCCTTAAAGTCACAAATCTATCACTGGCCATAAAGGAGGACTTAGTGTGTTATGATCATATGTATGTAAAGAGCAAAACAGTATTTGGCTCCGCGAAGCCTGGGCACTGAGGGTTTTTTGTTTGTTTGTTTTGTCTTGTTTTTTTAAACAACCTTAGGTGATTTTATGAATTTGAGACACATTAATCTAATATAATGATTAGGTCCTCAAAGTTAGGCCCATTACTATTAAGGAACCTGTTAGAAATGTAAACTTTCAGGCCCCACTTCAGCTTTGACCAGATCATTTAAATTAGCCCTCCCAGCGATTCCATTGCACACAAGATTGAAGAATTTGAAAAGGTAGGTCAGAAGTGGGGCCCAAGAATTTGCATTTCTTAGTTTCCAGGTGCTCCTGCTGCAAGTCTGAGGAGCATACTTACAGAATCACTGGCCTAAAACCTCTATTCACGGTTTGTCTACAGCAGGGGTCCCCAGCCCCAGGGTCTTGGACAGGTACCTGTCCTTTGGCCTGTTGGAAACCGAGCCTGGAGCAAAGCTTGCCTGAGCTCCGCCTCGAGGCTCCACTGCCCACCTTAGTCCCTGCTCCCATCTGGGGCTGTATGGGTTCCACAGCAGGAGGTGAACCCAGCGAGCAAGTGAAGCTCTCCTGACCCCTGCCCCCGACCATCACTACCCCCTCCTGAGCTCCACCTCTTGCCCTTTAGCCCCTCCATCCGTGGAAAATCTGTCCCCGGTGCCAAAAAGATTGGGGACCGCAGGTCCAGAGCCACACGTCTGTTAGATCAGAGCCAAACCTGGAACCCACTGTTTCTCTTCAACCAGAAACTACCCATCTGCCGTTTCTTCCTAGACCTGAGGTCTATATGCCCTTTTTACCTCCCCTTTCACCAAATATACAGGCAGTTAAAACAAAACAAAACAGTTCAGTACTTCATACTCAAAACATGTCTCTGCTCTTCTCCAGAAACCACTCACACTAGCTTTGCGCAAACACCCTTACTTGTAACAGGCCCTGCTCTTGTGTCAGACACTCTTCCTCATGGGGGCTCCCGCCTTGCTCTCACTCATCTGCAAGTTAACTTGAGGCCTCTCTCATGAAATCTCCACCCTGTGCTTGAGGCCACTGGTTACAAAAGGGCCAGGGACTTCAGAGGCGGACGCCCTCTAGTCTTGGGAAGTAACAGTGGGTTGCTTTCTTTCCTAACCTGCTGCCACCAGACCTTTTCCCACGAGCAGAGGGTCTACTGCGACAAGAAGATCAAGGGAAACCAGAGGTTCAGAAAGGGGAGATGGTAAGGCAGCAGAACTCAGCTGGACGGTGGGACAGTGACTGTTCCCCTTTAGGTCCTACATCCTCAGTCCCGAATCTTGCTCCCACCTTTATCCACTTCCACAAACGCCGAAGGCAAACAAAAATCAGCTCCTAATCATTTCATGCCTTTCCTCTGGAGAGGGGGTGGGGAGGGGATTGTCTTGGGATCCTCCGGGGTGGAGGACGCTGCGCCCAGGCAGTACGGTGAGGAGGCCAAAGGCAATTACACCTCCGTGGTTAAGTCCCTCGCTGCCCAGCGCTTGCAGCGCTCGGTTCGGTGGCAAAGAGCGTACAGGCTGGCTCTAGCCTTTGGACCAAGTAAGACACAAATCTGAGGTGTGCTCATCCGGGTCGCGGAGGGGCGCCCCGGACGCGCTGCCCCATTGCTCACCTACACCCTAGGTGGAGAGGGGCGGGGCGCGCCATCGCTCAGCTCCAAGGCCTGAACGCTGGGGGGGGCTGTGGCTCTCCGGCTGTCCCAGCTGCTGTAACTGCTTGGACTCTGGGTCCTGGCACTGGGGAGTGGCGCGAGCGGCTTCACTTCCCTCTCGCAGGCTTCAGAGGTGGCGAATCCCGTGTTGGCACCGAGTAGCAAGCGCTCGGCTAGGGCTTGGGGTTGGGGACGCGGCCGTCGTCAGCTTTGCGCCGCTCCTCCCCGCGCTCGGGGTGCTGGGCCTGTCATGGAGGCAGCGATGGCGACCCTGAGCACGCTCCCCACCCACCGTGCCTGCTCCGCCCTTCCCTCCGCCCCACGCCACCTTTGATGGCATCGACAACGCTAGCCACCGGCAACTTAGCTTGCACGGTAGCGCCGCAGCCGCAGCCGCAGCCGCAGCCGCAGCCCGAGGGTATTAATAGCCAAGCGTTCCAGCTACACTCGCAGCTCAAAGCCGCCGCACCCCTTGCAGCCGAGGGCCCGGAGCAGCTGAACGTGTAGGCCGGGAGTTGGAGGGAGCAGCGGGTGCCTGGAGGTAGGAGGCGCAGGGAACAATGACCGCTGTGGGGCGGGCGGGCGGCAATTTGTGGGAGCCCTGGCCCCCGGAGCTGACCCATTTGGGGTGCGGGTGGAAGTGGGAAAGTGGCTTGTAGGGTCGTTACTGAAAGCGGGATGGGGCGCGGGGGTGGGCAGGGGGAACCCGGTTTCTCCATCTAAGGCGGGAGATTCGCTCGCCGGGCCCGGAGCAGCCCTGGCAACATTAGCAGAAGCTTGGAGCCTCTGGGCTTCGCGCTGCCCTTTGCGCCTTTCTCCCCTTCTCAAGCTGGGGCTGCCCGGCTCTGCCTGAGCCTCCCTCTCGCCTTTTCCACCCCAGGGCGCCCTTCCTCCCTTTTCGTCCTATCCCACCGAGCGCCGTGACAGCGCCAGACTCCGCTTCCGGACCTCCGGCAGCAATCTCGGCCTCCAAAACAGATCGCTGGCCTGGAAGGTGGCCTCTGGTGCGGGTGCCATCGTGCTGCCAGGTGCCCCTAGGTCGCCCAGGCGCGGCGCTAAGACTCTGGTGGGTGACAGAGAGGAACACACCCAATGCTCACGTTAGATTTTGTATCTCTTTACCCCTTGCTTTTATGGAGAGCATTTTTTTTTCTTATTTTAAAGCAAAGGACACAGATTTTTGTGGTGAGCGTTTCAAAAACAACTTCTGATTGTGGTTTTACGATATAAGTTCCGGAAACTTTAGCTGTGTGAGCTGGCCAGAGCTTTCAGTGTACGTGTGTGTTTTATTTGGGGGCGGGGGAAGAAGGAGTTCACCGTAATGGGTTTGGCTTTTGTTTATGGCAGTTAGAGCCCAGCGGCTTGGGTTCTATGCACCGTTCCTCCATAAGAAGAGAAATGAGGTTCACAAAAAACGAGGGCCATGGTATTACATGCTCCTTGAGGTGTGGAGAGCTTGTGTCTCATCTGGAACAGTTTATCCATCTCAGCTTGTCTCTCTGAGCCTCTGGAGTACCATGTTAGCCTCTGGCTCTTTCGTTTTATTGTTGTTAATGTCTTGTTAGTTTCAGCCTGGCCCTCTTCTGTTTCCTTTTCCTCCTGAGCCATGGCTTTTATACACCCCCCATCTTCTCCTCTATTCAGGCAGTGCCTTCACCCTGGTTGTAGCTTTGGGTTATGTTTAATGTGGTGTCAGTGGTGACTTGCTAAGCCCATTTCAGGACATCCTCCAGCATTGTCTTGCTTTTTTAAATTCAGTCTAAACAGGCTTTTTAGTCCTGAGAGCTTTCGGTGAGTGGTATTAAAATTTGTCCTCATTGTTTAGATCAAGTGGGTCCTTGTGGAGTCCTGTATTTGGCTTTCTCCTCTCATTCCACAGCCTTCCTGCTGGAGGGTACCCTTAGCCTTTCCAGAGGGTTGGTTTTCTGGGTATTACATTTTATGATGATGCACTTCATATGTGGGTTCAGCATCCACATGGCTTACTTTGTATTCCTGCAGCATGGTTCTGCAGCAAGGCACCCGTATTGGAGTTACTCCAACCAGAATGAAACGTTTGTGTTTTTAGAATGTCTGGCTAATAAATCTGCTTCTGGGTAAGATAAATAGACACATTATTGGCCAGTGGTTGGTTTGATGAGTGAAGTGTTGGGGAAGATAGTGATGTCTTTCCAGCCCTTCCCAGAATCTCTTGTTTCTTTTATGTGGATGGGAAACTTCAAACACTTGGTTATGTTGTAGCTGTATCCCTTAGGGTCACAGGTTTTATAGCACACCCCTTGTGAGTTGGGGTATGGTTTTTCATGTAGGAGTTGTGTCCCTGCAGAAATTTTAGAGTTAGGTATAATGTTATTAGTATAATGCCCCTTTCATAGTAATAGTCTCATCCTGTAATTTATAGATGGATTTAATTACTTGGTTCATAAAAGAATATTAATGTTCTTCTATTGCCAAATATACTAAAAGGAGATTTAAAAATCCTAGAAAATTTTCTTCTGGTTTATGGCAGTTATTTCAGAAGTGAGAGTATAAGGAACACAGGTGAACATTTTTGTTTTGCTTCTCATGAAAGAAATTTTCCAAGAAAATGGCTTTTTAAAAAGACAAGAATTAAATAAGAATATTGAAATGTTTTCTTTTCAAAAATTGAAATTATTTCTCTAACATTCATTGAACATAGAAAAGTTTAATTCATTTGGAAAATTATATATATATGTTTATACATATATGAACGAGGAGGGTACTTGTGATAAATAAAATCAAAAGAGAAAACCCATTCCTGCTCTAAAGGAAGTAGAGAACACTGGACAAAAGAAAAAAAACCTTGTGTTTGATTGCTGAATGCTCTTTAGGAAAGGTGGCATTGTGACTTTTCCAGTGGATGAGGGAAGTTTTATGGATTCATAGGTACCTGGCTAAATGCTTTGACTGCATGGTGTCCCAGGCATTGAAACAAGCCCCTGGTAACTGGCCTTGCTTATTGCAGAGAACTGCCTAGTATTTTGAGGAATGCACTTTCCCTCCTAATTGAAGATGCTACAGGTAAGAGAGGGGCACATAATAAACCCCAAATATAGTTGCTTGAGTTCTTTCTACTTTGGGTATGTAGGTATTCTAGGTGTTCGTTACCACTGCCTGGGGAGAGGTGGAGGGCTTTCAGGTTCCTGTGTCTGTCTCTTCTATTGTGCTTTGCATAGAAAGGACTGCTCACCAAACCTGGAAAGTGGTGGATCAATTTCTTTTCTTGTTCTTTAGTGGTTAGAGTTTCTGCTGTGGCCTTACTTCATCATAATCTCTGCACCCTATGTTTCTGCCAGGTTACTGTGTTAACCACTTCTACATGTCTATGATGATCAGAGCCCAATAGTTTCCATTCAGGCTACTTGAAATACTGATTTTGCCAATCCTTTTATTCCAAATGCAACCTTTGTTTTTAATCAAGAAGCCCCCAGAAAATGTTTAGTATGAAGTAGGGCAATTGGCCTTTTATAGGCTGCCTTTGTCCTGGTTTAAGTCAGTTAAGTGCTTTGCAGAATGGGTACTTTGAGCAAAAGTGAATGATTGATACATATTAAATGTGCTCTAAGTTTTTGATGCTTGTGAAATAAGCCAGGGGACCGTCAAATATAGTTGCCTCTCACACACTCTTAGCTGGGGACCTGGCTTGCAACAGAGGCATGTGCCCTAACCGGGAATCATATCGCCACCCTTCAGGTTTGCAGATCAATGCTCAATCTAGCAATCACAACAGCCATGGCCTGCAGTTTTCTAATTTTAATGTGGGATGGAAATCATAGACAAATTGTAAGACTGGCAATTAAATTAACATGAGAATACATCACTGGTACTGAATTAATTTCATGTGTAAAATTGTCGTATTTTTACATGCATTTTCAAGCAAAAGAACTACAGATCAAACTAGATTGCCTTTAACTGTTGCCTTTATACATCTGTTACAGTAACATTCCTTGCAAAGAGTTACTTCACTTTACATGTAGACTTTTAGTTTTCCATACAGGTATCTTAAGAAGATTTGTAAATGTGGTATGATAATGACTTTTATTTTTTGTTCTCAAACTATTAATTCAGGATCTAGTGTAGTGCCTGGCACATAGCAAACCTTCAGTGAGCACTTATTGAGTGAATAAATAAGCCTAGTTTTTTATGTCCTTTCAAATTAATCTTTAAGGTTTTTATAAGAATTTGATATTAGCACTGATATATTAGTACTGATAGGTAGCTGTTCTGGGAATTTTAAAATTTGATATTTGATTTTGATTCTGTTTCATTCTAATCTAAAAATTTAAACTACCCTTTAAAGCTGTGTAATATTATAAAAAGATTCAGGTTTATTTTAAAAATCAGACAATAAAAGCATGAAGAAGAAAATAAAACTTACCTGAAATCCTTACCACACAAATCCACCATTGACCTTTTAGTGCCTGTTCTTTTATACATCCTTTTCATGTTTTAGGCTCCCTCAAATCGTCTTTGTTTTATATAGTTCTTGTCTATATAGATTTAATGTGCTCACCATGTCTACTTATATGTTGAAACTTGATTCTGTGATAATTTTCCTGCTCCCAGAGAGATATTTTTTAGATGTTCCATTAGTAAGCATTTCTTGATGGTAATGTCAGTTTTTGTATGCCTTTAAAATATCTCTGTTCTTGAATAATAGATTACCTGTAATAGATTTTACCTGTAATAGATTACCTATCCAAATCTGGATTGTTTTTCCTGTATCACACATATTGGCTGTCAGGTTAATTTTTTTTTTTTTTTGTAAATAGCCTGTCTTTTCTCCCTGGCTGTTTTTAGGTGCTCTGTGGTTTCATTCTGTCTAGCTGTAATTTCTTTTTTCTTTTTTACTTTATTCCTTCCTCCTCTCTTACTCCATGCCTCTCCTTCCTCTCATTTCCTTTCTGTTGTTCAGTAGTATTTCAGTGTCTGGATTATGTTACAGTTTAATTATCTGTTCACCTTTGGCCACTTTGGTTGTTTCCCGTTTTGACTATCATGAATAAAGCTGCTATGAACATTTGTGAACAAGTCTTTGTGCGATCTATTTTTGTTTTTATCAGTGGGTCTTATAATAAGTGTATACTTAACTTTATAAGAAACTGCCATTGTTTTTTTTTCCCAAAGCATTTGCCATTTTACATTCCCACCAGTGATGTATGAGCCAGCCAGTTACTGTAATCCTCACTAACACTTGAAATGGTTAGTGTTATTCATTTTAGCCATTTTGCTTGCTGGGCGTGTAGTGGTGTCTCATGGTTCAATTTTATATTCCCTGATGACTCATGATGGCTTTTCATGTGTTTATTAACCATTTGTGTATCTTCATTTGTTAAGTATCTATTATGTCTTCTGTCTTTCAAATTTTTAAAAAAATTTAATTGACTCTATTGGGGTGACATTGATTAATAAAATTAAATAGGTTTTAGGTGTACAGTTCTTTTTTAAAGAATATTTTATTGATTATGTTATTACGAGTGTCCCAGTTTTTTCTCTACTTTATCCCCCTTCTACTCTGCA